AATTCAGGACTCTAATAAAGAAGTAAACGAAACAGGCAAATTATAGTACAAGGGCTTTAGAAAAGCAGTTGATGAATTATGAGCTATACCTATCGCTGGAGCAATTTTCAGTTATCATTTTTTTGAATTATCGTCCTAGTGCACCTCCCCTCAAGATTCTAACATCTATTTTGATCACTTTCGATTTTCCTTTGGCTTCAAAATATGTCAATCACATCATTAACGAGTCCTATGAAGGCAACATCAGCTGTATGATGCAGTCTCGTTGTTTGATTGGCTCTACTGTATTTAACTCTAAATATATATTAAAAGGTGCTTATAACTTTTTGTGTGCTTTGTAATTTCCTGTTATACCTACTAATAAACCTAGAAATCCATCCAGTACAGGACTTGTGCAAGTCTATCCGATACACGTCACTAAATAAGGTCAAAGTCACAGACATCAGCATCAACGACAGCGGAGGAAATCATTTTCTAAATATCTTAACAAATCATTGCTATGTAATGGCGATCGTTACCAACAAGTGTAAGAACCTTGTCTTGTTAAACACAAACCCATTATCTGTCTCCCTAGACGCCTTCGGGCGACATTGAAAACAAAATAGAACACATGGGGTTTCTAAATATGACGCAACCAAGAAGAATTTCCAGACAACCAACAAAAGCAGCCAAATCAGATTATTATTCACCTCCCATTTTATCTACGTGTGTCTGTTAAATACATAAGTACATTCCCTGACGTTCATATTCGTCAACAACTTCGGTTCGAAGTCTGTTTTGAAAATTAAAACGTCCCTTTCTTTCTACAAGCTAAACCGGATGCGGGCCGCAACACATTTTTGGTGATCATACCGATATATGCGAGGTTGATGAACTCCAACAATCATTAAAACATTTATATATAATTACCTGCTGATGAAATTTACCAATAAATGGTACGCATGAGTTTCTTCTTGGCTGATGTATGGATTTCTAAGTTATTTTCCATAAACTCAAAATGGCGGAATCTTTACGCGTCCGCCTTTCCAGCTTTGGACGTTTAATTTGTCTGACTCTTTCTAGGGTTTGTAAGTGTAGAATTATACACGCCTTCAAAGCGTCGCTCTCACGTAGGTTCAATTTTGAATCTGGTCAGCGCCATCTACGAAGAGTGAATTCCCGCGTTTTCCCAAAGCAATCTCATAAATGTTCAAATATGAAATGATTATCAAACAAAATTATTTAATTCTATATGTGATTTATGTGAAACATTCCAATGGCTAATTGAAATTGATTTCCTATCAGATGTGGCAAACGAAAAAATCAGCCAACTGACGACGTTATTGAAAAAACTTTTTTTATAGTTGTGTAATACCTCCTCGAGCTAACGTTTCTTGTTCTCTGTGTACGACCATTTGGCACATAAAATCTTGTCCATAATTATTTTTCGCGAGATGTCGCAGGTAACTTAGCAGAGACATAAAACGTGGAATATATATATATATATATATACATATATAATAGACAGTTACGTGTTACGATCTAACACAATCGTTCCATTTGACCCATTGAATGACTCGACTTTTTCACGTAACTGAAATGTTAGATCTAGAACCTAGTATCAAGGTCTGCCGTAACCTATATATCACGTTTTAATTCATTTGTACATTGACATGATTCTGTACACATACATGCACTAGGCGTCATTTTGAAATAATTCAAAATGTAAAATTATGAAAGGTATTTTAACGAGACGGGCAACTGTGCAACACGCCTTCACCCTTTCCCTCGCTGTGGTTTTGATATTTCTGTCGACCTTGGGATGAATGCCCCGTTCATCGGATTTTTAGCTCACTTGGTACAGAGGCCTCAGATGTTATGTCATTCCGCGGCGTCCGTCGTCCGTCAATTATCATTTCCCCTCTAAAAATCGCAGCTAGTTATAAACGAATAAACCGAGATTTTTTTAACCAAATATGGTTATTTGAGAGAAGGACACATGTGTAAAGGGAACATTTTTTTTTTTTTTGAAATTGTGGGCCTCAGACCACTGGGACGGGAGGGACCGAATAGGGAAAATGGAGCAAATTCTTTCAAATCTTCTGTAGGGAAACTTGGTTTCTGTCCCAATATTTGGTCTGAAAAACCCTTGGGTAAAGGGGTCACTTTTTCATTGAACGATGAGTCTTGCACTCTTGGGCGGGAGAGCGGAGCGAGAAAAGGGAACTACAGCATTTTTTCTGTATGAATGCTAATGAAGATTCTATGCTAATTATCTTTTGAAGCATCTTTGAATGAAAAGGGGTTCGATTTTGTATAAATGATGAGCATCTGGGGAACAGAACAAGTTAAAATCTTTCTTGTCTGAAGCATCCTTGGGTAAATAGGATTCAGTTTTGTATAAACGGAAGAAGTGACTCCTTCTGGCGCCGGAGGTGGGGTGGTGGTGTTTCGGAGCCGAAAATCTATAACAAACCTTTAAAATATTTCTTCTTCTCTGGGAATGCACGGATTTCATCCTAATTTGTTACAGAAAATTCTAATTCTGTGTAAATAATGGGTCTTGGCACCCAGGAACCAGAGGGATAGTGCCCATGAGGAACAGGAGTGACGGAGTATAAGACCTTTAATAAAGTAAAGTAAGCCAGGTGTATAAGGTACAGGTCCAACATTAACCTCGATGATATTTCTGCCGACCTATTGTGATTTATCTCAGTTGTAGTACCATGTTTCCACGACTCGTACTTCTGAGCAGCACTGACGAGTCCTAGAGGCGCCGTGTGATGCAGTTCAATTCCCGATTAGTTTATTAAAGTACTTTTTTTTGTAATACATTTGTGTACATCTGTAAGTCAGCGACAAAGATCAGAAATGTCGCCGTCACAGACGATATGTACCCCAATAAGTAATTATTCATGATCAGAGATGTAATATATAAAAACTTGGAATACAGTCATCTGACACTAATTACACTGCAGATAATTTGTTTTATATCACGGATTTAAGATACATATATCTAAGTAAAGATAATTCTATTTATACTTACGGGGATGTTTGATGATCGCCAGCTTAATATCATTAGCAAATATTTTATTTCCTTGTGAACTACAAAGTAAATGGTTCCGTTAATTTGTCTCTGCACCAATTCTTAATTAACGGTGCAATATTAAGACGAAGCTACACGAAGGAATGATATGGCGGATCTTCAGCGGGGCCAAACTTCGGCAGTATATTTCATTGTGGTAACACTATAAATTCGGGTGACCAGATGGGATGTCCTCCTGGAGGGATTAAACAGAATACTTCATAGAGGTAGCACTATAAATTCGGGTGACCAGATGGGATGTCCTCCTGGAGGGATTAAACAGTATATTTCTGTGAGGTTGCGCTATAAAGTCGGCTTAATTAAGTATCAAACTATCACAAGGAGACTCACACAAGCGCACGCACACATGTACTTGTTTCGATTACATTGGGAGCTTCTGATAACCCTGGCTAAAGATAGAACATTTAACAATATAAACCAAAGGTAACACCGTATAATTGCCATGGGTTCCTCGGTAACATTTTCTTTAGTCGGTATGTTAGCTTAAAACGTATTTCAATTGTAAATCTGCGGTATAGATTTTCATTTAAAATTGAATTACTTAATTCTGTAGATATTTTGATCTCTTTTCAATCATGGATTTTGAGCTCTCTTGTTTTTCGGCCCTACATTCTAGGTTAATTCCTTCCAATTGTTTCTTTTCCAAAATACAGTCAATGCAGTGCTTGATTCGCCAGTTTTGGTGTGTGACCGGGGAATTCCGAGTTGTCCAGTCAGTACAATACGTGTTCCGGGAAACCAGTGACGTGTTACAAGACTATTTCCATTGGAAAGAATAAAGAAGATGGATGTGTCGGGTTTATCAACTTTACTACAACTGTCCTGTGACAATTCGACCTCTGTACGGCAACATCGTCCAGGTTTAGAGAAGTGAATTTTAAATAATTGGCTGTACTAGACACGATTGACCAGCTCCAGGTATGTTATGCCTTAATGCGTCTCTCGGTCGGAGGAGGGTAAGTGGTGAATGTGGTGGGGTGGGGCGGGGGGAGGGGGTCAGTATGCCTCTGATCTCTACAGGTGATACGAGCCGTCTCTCGTGGACCTAATACTACTGAACATTATACACAGTCATGTTAGTAAAGTTGAACAAGGAGGAAAAAATTCGAGAAAAGTTGGCATCATGTTGAGGTTGTTTTGGGTGATTATCACACATTTAATTCTTGAGTAAAATAATGTTAAAATATCACACAATGAAAGAGCTAAAATATCTCGGGATCGTGACTTATTCCAATACTATTATATAAATCTTTATGTTATTCACACTTCGATCCTTGTAGACAATCCTGATATCAGTAGGCTGTAGAACTAGAATGGTGCGCCAAAAGATAGCTGACGAGACCAATCTGGATACACAATCCTCCTCCATGGACTTGTCACGATTGGGTAGGTGCTGTTCACTGGTGTATGGCACAAATTGAAATTGTTTCCATTTCCATTTTAATCATCTCTCATTTTGATAATTTCGCCTGAAGAAATATCAGTTAAGAAGTATCAGTTTTTAGGATTAACACAGGGACCTATAATATATATATTTACATCCCCCTTCAACTACTGCAGCTATCCACTCCTCCCTCAAATATATCATATTGAAATAAATATTAAGTAAAACAGTTTGCAATATTGAGATAATTGTGAAATACTTTTGTTTAACAGGATTTGAAGAAGATTATGGCTCATTGTAACAAAAACTGGTTAGTAGACATTGCCAATGAAACATTGAAATGAAAGCAAGGTAGTGACTGATTGTTGAAAACAAGGTATTGACTGGTTGTTGACTAAATAGCCTGCAGTAGTTTCCTAATTCCTTCCGGTATTTGGTTGTTGAAAGCAAGGTAGTGATTGGTTGTTGAAAGCAAGGTAGTGATTGGCTGAATCAGACCACAAAATTTACAAACATTACAAACAAACAAAGTTTAGCTTGTCCCTATTTATTAGCATTAAATTATATAAATGACAACTTTCTGTGACCTCAAATGAAAAAAAATGTACATTATTAATGTAAACAACAAACATGACATAATCATCTATAAATATATCGCCAACAAATAGACAAAACAGCTGACCTTTGACCCATGACCTCTCAGAACTTCTAGTGGGTAAGTCGAAAGGTCAAAGTGTACCTAGACAAACTATATACCATTTGGAACACCTCTGGTAACTTTGCACTTCATTAATATGAATATTGGCAAAGGTCCCCTGATCAATCACACAAAATGTGTATAAATACTGACAATCTGAATCACCCCTGTAATTTCACCCCAGTGAATCCACAATAGAACAGTCATTTCATAACTGTGGAGCAGCTTAATTTTATCTCTAGGGTTAACAGGATATATAGTTTATCAATTAACAAAAATACCACTAAATTCCCTAAAGATTGTCAATATTCTGAATCTGTGGAAACAATTTGCTTAGTAAGTTAAAAACCCTGACTACAGATAAACGATGCAGTGCTTTGCTGTAAAAATGGCATCATTACACAAAAGGGACATAACTCAAATATTTTTCCAAACATATTTTCTCTGATAAACAAAAAGTATTTCACGTTATTCTACCAGGAGTAGTACTGATTACATTTTACGGTTTTAGAGAAATAAATAATCAATCTGGTAATAAATAAACCGATTGTTGCCGTAATCACCTACAAATTCTATTTCATTTTTACTGACTTAAGTGATAGTTCTTGCCTGTTGTGGTTATTACAGGATAGATACAATTCCTACACATAATAATACATCATGGAACATTGTGCATTTATATCCAAAATCTGTCTTTTTTATTCGTGATGCAGAGTTATCTATTCTTGTGAGCAGATATTGATTATAATGCCGTAAGTATTTGTTTTGTATTCTCACAAATTTACGATGATATTCACAGAATGACGCAACAAATAATATCTTCTTACAAGAGCAGATAACTCTGTCTTCGGAAAGGATGAAATTAACAATGATATAAACATATAGCCCAAGAAAAATACTAAACCCATACAAAATGTTCAATCAGAAGTCCATATATAATTATAAGTAATAATTTGTAACAAAATCGTACAGAGTTATAATTATGCAGGATTAATATATACAAAGGCAGTGATAAGTTAACAGGGATGTAAACCCATCCAAAACTTTTAACTTATATTTTATGTTAAAACTCATTCAAATTCTCCACACTGACTCACTACAAAGAACTGTTAAGGATAAAAACTACTGTAATTTATACCGCTCTTCTTTACCCAACTGGACTTGAAAGCTTTACCCATCAGGACCTGAAAGCTTTACCCAACTGGACCTGAAAGCTTTACCCATCAGGACCTGAAAGCTTTACCCAACTGGACTTGAAAGCTTTACCCAACAGGACCTGAAAGCTTTACCCAACTGGACCTGAAAGCTTTACCCATCAGGACCTGAAAGTTTTACCCAACTGGACCTGAAAGCTTTACCCAACTGGACTTGAAAGCTTTACCCAACTGGACCTGAAAGCTTTACCCATCAGGACCTGAAAACTTTACCCAACTGGACTTGAAAGCTTTACCCAACTGGACCTGAAAGCTTTACTCAACAGGACCTGAAAGCTTTACTCAACAGGACTTGAAAGCTTTATCCAACTGGACCTGAAAGTTTTACCCAACTGGACTTGAAAGCTAAGTCTAGGGTAAAGCATAGATTTTTCTAAAAAGAAAAGAAATTTCTTTAATAAAGTGAACCAAGTCAGGATCCCGTACAAGCCCAGTCTTATTTTAATGAGACCAATATAATCAAAACATCTGTCCCACCCTAGGACTCCTTTTTTCACTGTCCACACAATTAACTATTGGCATTAAAATAGATATCACCAGGATGAATTAGTTTAGTTTAACTATACAAGTACTTCCTGGATTAGCCTTTATAAATATATATTTTCATGTTCAAAGTTTTGAAGGTTTTCCACAGAAGCACTTGATTGTGTGGTTAAATCTTGTTAAAAAATCTGCTAGTTGTAAAATCCGTGTCACCATTTATCATTACTGTGAGATATGAATATATCTAGAGTACGAATTAATCCCCATGAAAATAAATCCCCACAAAAATGACTAATTTTGCAGTATGCAATTTAGTTGTTCAGAATAGGATTCAGACATATCAATGTGTACCACACAATATCTATATCTAACTTTCCTATAAAATAATTATTTTATTATTAATTTACTGAAGGGATCATTATTCAAAATCAGAAACAAAGAATAACTACAATATTCTAATGGTTCAAGTGACTTATACACTTAGGTAGTGTAAACATGGTACATAGTTTAGCAGTATTCTTGTTTTGGCACTTTCCACAGGTTATTGCACTAGATGTGTGCGCTAATTGGTTTCTGTATGTTGCGGATGTAGTAATTATGACTTATGTGTAAATCCATCATCGCGCTAATTTGCTAAAATGTGATAAAGTGCTGAAATTTGATTGCTTGCTAAAAATAAGTATGTTTACAGTATATATACCTTCAATATTGGAGATCGGACTCGTTCGGCTGATCTCTTCACCAGCAAACAATTCAAAATATTTCTTTCCTAGGAAGATGTGTAACCTTATTGTTATACACAGTAGTGTTGTATATAACAAACATAACAAATCAAGATGAAAATTTATCAAATGATTTGTTATATTAGAAATACCTAAACTAGAATGTAAACCTTTCATGTCACTTATATCATTGTCACCGTCATCGACAAAACGGACCAGGATGAAAAATTTTAATTCCTCTTATGAAAAAAAAATGAAAAAAAGGTGCAAAAGTCTGATATATATATATGATCAATGAAGTAATAGCAACAGTATGGACAAGCGAATTGTCAACTTTTCGAGGCAACCTTCATTGCTATTACTTCATTGATCATACATCTATCCCAGTAATTCGCATCAAATGAACATTTGTTTGTTAGGATCTAGTATCAATATTGAATCATACCGTCGATATTACTTACAAGATTATATATATATATATATATAAAATTTTCATTCAATTGTACCAAAATATCTGCAGGATACATTATGTTTCAACAAAAAATCTACATTTATCACAAAAGATATGAAAAATTTAATTGATAAACTTGCATTGTAAATCTATGTTATGACAGATGTTTAACACAATAATTGACTCACCTTCCAAAAAATAACTGGACGATTGACCTCTTTGCAAATGAATGTGACAACTTTTACCATCTTGATACACGAGATTTAAAATGCTATAGAAGTATAAATAGGTACCTGGTATATGCCTTGGAAACAGCCTTATGATTAACATGATAAACTGTATTTGAAAGACAACAAATAAATATGAACATTTTCTCTATAAATATCTACTCACACAAAATGAACGGTTTGCAAATAATATTTGACATGAAAATCACTCAGGAAGCACAGCTGTATATACATCTACACAAAACAGTGTTAAAATGATCAAACAATGCTTTCTGTGAACCTGTATTTTCATTTACGGTAAGTGGACAGATAAGAATATAAGTGCTTTTTACATTATGAGATTTTGACAGAAATCATTATTCTTGCATTGTGTCATGCTTTTTAAATCTTTATTGAAGAGAAATATGCTTACTGTGCTATACAAAATTTTTCATAAATAAATATTTTTTTTGTAAAGAAATATTGATCCAAGTTGTGTCCACAGTTTATCTCAAGTAATTGACTTTGAGCAATACAAACATATTTCATTCCATTTTACTAGGAATAGGACATGTCTCACACTTTCTGATAATATCATGGTATTAAACCCAAAACATTGAATATTTTTATATGAACAATCTGGTGACAATATCACAGATCTAGTAAACTCTGATGGATCTTTTTACAAGTGTGATCTTGTGACTTACATACATATATATGTAGGCTATATATACAACATTATAACATAGTTACAATTTATTGCTTATCATTCCCCCAAAACAAGGAATCAACTCTCCACTCCACAACAATATTCTCTTCTGTATATTCAGGTCTATACTTCTGACTTATCAATTCCCTGCGACTGAAACAGTTTAATTAGATACTGTAGGTATCCAAAACATTGTTCTCAATGCCTATGGTAACACTTCTATATCCTCGTTGCCCCTGGTAACACAATTGTATCCACGTTGCCGTTGGCAACACAATGTCTACTTGTTGCCCATAGTTACAAAGGGGCCTTCCAGAGACTATTTCAAGATACTTATGGGAAAGGAACTCTGCTTGATATGTAAAGCGAAATAATAACACCACAGAATGATGACCAAATATGGTCTTGGCTGTTGTGATATCCGACCACCTGGACAGTGATTCAGTAATATCGAATGACCTTGACCCTTTGTTTGGTAATGATCATGATGACCTCGACTACACAATTTTGGAGACTTAAAAACTTTGACTGGACAAAGTCAAAGTGATTTTGACATATCTGATCATACCGTCTCTCCAGTACAAGCACCATCGACATTGATTCTAGTCCTGAAGTGCTCAACTGTAGTCCAGTGATTATGATATAAGACATGGCCAACTCTGGTACCCATTGGTATGACCTTGTTCATTGTCACACAGCAGATATTGACCATGGTCAGGTAAACGCACCTTTGATCTTGACTCAAAAAAGCTTAAAATGACCATAGTCTAATAATCATAGTACCATGGTAATCATCACCTTGACAACTGCCATATACCTGTGGTCATGACCTTGACCTTGTCACTCCTAATGTATTATGACCTTGACCACATTTTCTTTCTAAGTGACCATGACTGAAGTCACCCGTAGGCTATCAAGACGACGTGAGAGAGAAGAGGACAATACGCGAGGCGTTGAAGTACATGTTAGATGAGTGATACACTAGTGACCAGATGTAAGGGATGAAGAATTCCTCCGGCGATTCTTCTTCTACGTATTTAAACTTCAGATCCGGGAATTTCTGAAAGAGATGTAAATATTGTTTTAAGTCAATGATAATATAAAATCTGGTTTTGAAGTTTATAACAAAACTAAACATGTAAAGAGAACAACTTTTTTCAGCAAAATTTTGTCTCCCGTTTATAAACCACTTGTTTGAAATGGCTACAGCCACTACTGTATTTGACAATAAGTATAGTGTTGTTTCTGAAAATCATTAAAGCTATAAGTTTATTTCTTTATCATTTTTGATTAAGAAAGTTAATCCGTCTATTTTACTTATTCATCTTAAATTTTCATACAAACTGAATTATCTATATATATAAATGTACATTTTTATGTTATCTTCACCAAGACATTAATATTCTATACATCTATACATGAATATCCTATACATTTATACATGAATATTCTATACATTTATACATGAATATTCTATAAATGAATATTCTCTACATCTATACATAAATATTCTCTACATCTATACATGAATATTCTATACATCTATACATAAATATTCTCTACATTTATACATGAATGTTCTGTACATCTATACATGAATATTCTATACATCTATACATGAATATTCTATACATGAATATTCTGTACATCTATACATGAATATTCTCTACATTTATACATGAATATTCTATACATCTATACATGAATATTCTATACATTAATATTCTACACATTTATACATGAATATTCTATACATGAATATTCTATACATTAATATTCTACACATTTATACATGAATATTCTATACATCTATACATGAATATTCTATACATGAATATTCTATACATCTATACATGAATATTCTATACATTAATATTCTATACATTTATACATGAATATTCTATACATGAATATTCTATACATCTATACATGAATATTCTATACATGAATATCCCATACATCTATATATGAATATTCTATGCAAACTAGAATCAAGTAAGGTGTAGAACTTGAGGCTTTGATACTACTTGCCAAGTATGAATAAAACTTCAGACATTACACTGATTCCAAATGTAATGGGACAGACAACATGGGCTGAATGCCCCCAATCCCAATTAACTTGGGGGTGGGGATGGGTGGGGGTGGGCTGGGATGTTGGGAATAATGGATTTTGTCTGAAGGGTGCTATGTTATTTGTGTCCCTACCCTTAAATGATCTCTTCGGAACTGTTTGGATCCATCTTTGATCAAATCCAGTACTTCAGCAGGAGATACGGTAGCGGTATGGCCATTTTGTTCTAGCTTTGTGTTAAAGAATGCAAGCACCTGTGAGCAAAAAACAAAAACATTGTACAATAGTTGTACATTATTGGTTCAAAACGTGATGAAATCTAATCAGTAATATCTACTGTTAAAATCTGTTTACCATAAAAGTCGAAGAATACCTTAATACCTAACTTTTACATATGGGGAGGGGATAAGTATAGATGTCCCCTCTCTACCACATTTCTGTATCCCATTCTCACCCTTTGCTTCATACTCACTTTCCTATCTTTTCTAGTCCACTGAAAGGCCAAAAGACCATAATAGTGGAAGTAAAACTAATTCACTGAATAAATGAATAAATAAATAAATAAATAAATAAAGACGGGCTTATTTGAGGATATATACAGTAAGTATAAATGGTCCCCAGAAATTTTTATACTGATGAGCCTTAATGAAAATCATTGTAACTGAACCTCTCTAAAAAGACCACCTGTGTACAAAGGCCACTTTTCTCTGTTCCCTGGAATAGTCTTTAGAAACAGGTTTGACTACACATAAAAATCATTATATAAAGAATTATTAAAATTTAATGTACTCAGACTCTATAAAAAAAGTCACCTGTCTGTAGAGGTCACTTTCCTCTACTACCTTACATGGTCTTTATAGACAGGTTTGACAACCTTCACTATACCACATAAATAAAATTATGTAATCTTACTGTGTCAATGTTCTGTATGATGTCCTGGAAGGTGGGATGTGTCCTGAACTGAGCGAACAGTTCCTTACGATAGAGAAGTGTGTATATTAGGTTTGGATTGTGGTGGAGGGAGCTCGTCAGACAGGAATTAAGAATTTCTAACATCATTCGTATCACCTCCTCAAGTACTGCAAGGTCCTGCATCTGTTACACAATAAAATTAAAAAAAACAGTTACATGAATCTTTATCATATCTTTTCTCTTTCAATAATAATATAGCTACTTAATATTCTCTTTTATTAAGGCCATTTACTGCCCTTTGCTAATTTTGAACTATATCCCAGGCCTTAATGTCCCTAACCCTTCATCCCTTTCCCCATCCCTACCCCATTCCCTTCATCCCCAACCCTAATCCCTAGTGCCCTACCCCTTCATCCCTTTCCCCCCCTCCCCTACTCCACTTCCTTCATCCCTAACCCCACTCCCTAGTGATCCTTCCCCTTCATCTCCTACACCACTCCCTAGTGCCCTACCCCTTCATACCCATCCCCCTCATCCCCAACCCCACTCCCTAGTGATCCTTCCCCTTCATCTCCTACCCCACACCCTAGTGGCCTACCCCTTCATCCCCATCCCCAACCCCACTCCCTAGTGCCCTACCCCTTCATCCCCATCCCCCTCATCCCCAACCCCACTCCCTAGTGCCATACCCTTTCATCCTCATCCCCAACCCCACTCCCTAGTGTTCCTTCCCCTTCACCTCCATCCCCCTCATCCCCAACCCCACTCCCTAGTGATCCTTCCCCTTCATCTCCTACCCTACACCCTAGTGCTTACCCCTTCATCCCCTACCTCTTTATCCCCATCCCCCTCATTCACAACCCCACTCCCTAGTGATCCTTCCTCCATCATACTTACATAGTCCTGTCCTCCTCCATCATACTTACTATGTACCTGACTCCATCATACTTACATAGTCCTGTCCTCCTACTATGTACCTGACTCCATCATACTTACATAGTCCTGTCCTCCCACTATGTACCTGACTCCATCATACTTACATAGTCCTGTCCTCCTACTATGTACATGACTCCATCATACTTACATAGTCCTGTCCTCCTACTATGTACATGACTCCATCATACTTACATAGTCCTGTCCTCCTACTATGTACATGACTGACTCCATCATACTTACATAGTCCTGTCCTCCTACTATGTACCTGACTCCATCATACTTACATAGTCCTGTCCTCCTACTATGTACCTGACTCCATCATACTTACATAGTCCTGTCCTCCTACTATGTACCTGACTGACTCCATCATACTTACATAGTCCTGTCCTCCCACTATGTACCTGACTCCATCATACTTACATAGTCCTGTCCTACATATGTACTGACTCCATCATACTTACATAGTCCTGTCCTCCCACTATGTACCTGGCTGACTCCATCATACTTACATAGTCCTGTCCTCCTACTATGTACATGACTGACTCCATCATACTTACATAGTCCTGTCCTCCTACTATGTACCTGGCTGACTCCATCATACTTACATAGTCCTGTCCTCCCACTATGTACATGACTGACTCCATCATACTTACATAGTCCTGTCCTCCCACTATGTACCTGACTATGTACTATGTACTGACTCCATCATACTTACATAGTCCTGTCCTCCTACTATGTACATGACTCCATCATACTTACATAGTCCTGTCCTCCTACTATGTACCTGGCTGACTCCATCATACTTACATAGTCCTGTCCTCCTACTATGTACCTGACTCCATCATACTTACATAGTCCTGTCCTCCCACTATGTACCTGACTCCATCATACTTACATAGTCCTGTCCTCCTACTATGTACATGACTGACTCCATCATACTTACATAGTCCTGTCCTCCCACTATGTACCTGACTCCATCATACTTACATAGTCCTGTCCTCCCACTATGTACCTGACTCCATCATACTTACATAGTCCTGTCCTCCTACTATGTACCTGGCTGACTCCATCATACTTACATAGTCCTGTCCTCCTACTATGTACCTGACTCCATCATACTTACATAGTCCTGTCCTCCCACTATGTACCTGACTCCATCATACTTACATAGTCCTGTCCTCCTACTATGTACCTGACTCCATCATACTTACATAGTCCTGTCCTCCTACTATGTACCTGACTGACTCCATCATACTTACATAGTCCTGTCCTCCCACTATGTACCTGACTCCATCATACTTACATAGTCCTGTCCTCCTACTATGTACCTGACTCCATCATACTTACATAGTCCTGTCCTCCTACTATGTACCTGACTCCATCATACTTACATAGTCCTGTCCTCCTACTATGTACCTGACTCCATCATACTTACATAGTCCTGTCCTCCTACTATGTACATGACTGACTCCATCATACTTACATAGTCCTGTCCTCCTACTATGTACCTGACTCCATCATACTTACATAGTCCTGTCCTCCTACTATGTACATGACTGACTCCATCATACTTACATAGTCCTGTCCTCCCACTATGTACATGACTGACTCCATCATACTTACATAGTCCTGTCCTCCCACTATGTACCTGACTCCATCATACTTACATAGTCCTGTCCTCCCACTATGTACATGACTGACTCCATCATACTTACATAGTCCTGTCCTCCCACTATGTACATGACTGACTCCATCATACTTACATAGTCCTGTCCTCCCACTATGTACATGACTGACTCCATCATACTTACATAGTCCTGTCCTCCCACTATGTACCTGACTCCATCATACTTACATAGTCCTGTCCTCCCACTATGTACATGACTCACTCCATCATACTTACATAGTCCTGTCCTCCCACTATGTACATGACTCCATCATACTTACATAGTCCTGTCCTCCCACTATGTACCTGACTGACTCCATCATACTTACATAGTCCTGTCCTCCCACTATGTACCTGACTGACTCCATCATACTTACATAGTCCTGTCCTCCCACTATGTACATGACTGACTCCATCATACTTACATAGTCCTGTCCTCCTACTATGTACATGACTGACTCCATCATACTTACATAGTCCTGTCCTCCCACTATGTACCTGGCTGACTCCATCATACTTACATAGTCCTGTCCTCCCTTTGCACTCAACCTCTACCGGCCTGACTCCATCATACTGTACATAGTCAAACTGTAAGAGAAATTCACATTTAATACACAGAACTCATTTACGATTCTGAATAGGTAAACAGGAAGAGGCATTTTCACCGATTTAAAATTCTCACAGACTATCTCTAACAGTGAAGTAAAAGCCATGTTTTTCTTGAGCGACTTGCCCATATTTTCAAAACCCACTACATCACCTGGAAATGAAATATCAATATTATGAACATGGAAAAGTGAACCAGAAATATACCAACAATATATCTATAGTATAACTTGATGACACGGTTTGATTGTGACAATCTGAGCGTAACCATTACCTGACAAGCCTCTGTGAGACATAAGGATGGAGATTGGTAAACTGTGACGACATATTGGCAAGGGCAGCCAGACAATTGGTGTGTAAATATTTATCCTGAAAAATTAATAAAACAATCTTTCAACTCTTAGATAAAAACATAACCAGTCAGTTAATGGAAAATATGCATCTTCAACAAAATGGAGTCAGTAACAGTTATTTTCACTAATTTCTTGTAATGTTTTTAGATTGCCCTTTCAAGGGCACCGACATACAAACTGATTGCCCTTTCAAGGGCACCGACATACAAACTGAAGGCCCTTTCAAGGGCACTGACATACAAACTGATTGCCCTTTCAAGGGCACCTACATACAAATCGATTACCCTTTCCAGGGGACTGACATACAAATTGAATTACGTGTATATTTTTGTTCTTAAGAGCTTAACACAAAGTCTAAAGGCTGAAGTGTCAAAATATAAAGGCCACAGTGATTATTAGTTTGTTGTATGTACCCTCATGCGAGTCATATTATACTGTATCGTCCTGATAACCACCAGAATCAGCAGACCACCAAGCGTTATCTCAGAAATCGGCCTTTCTTTGAACCAGGGAATATTTCTAATCACCTGCAATTATATCACCAAAACAAAAAATAGAAAAGTTTTGAAAAACCTACAAGTGTTATTTCTCTCTCTTTTTGATGGAAATGAAGGAGAATAATGATAACAGAAATAAAATAACGTTAAATAAAAAGCTCAACCACCGTTAACTCTGTATTAGTATTAACAGGAACTTAAACATGTAGTCGTGTCATTTTCAATATAACACTTTAAGTCCTTAAAATAAAATCATTTCCATTCTGATTTAACTGAACACATAGAACATCATTTTTATTTGTGAATAGTTTACATGACTTTAAACATGAAAATTGAACATGATTTAAACAAACACATAAGTTGAATAAATATATGTGATTTCCAACTAACACAAAAATTTGTAACAATTTAAACAAACACTGAAGTTAAACATGTCTACATACTATTTAAACAAACACTGAAATTGGACATGTCTACATACTATTTAAACAAACACAGAAATTAAACATGTCTACATACTATTTAAACAAGCACAGAAACTGAACGTGTCTACATACAATTTCATGAATGGCTTTGTTGAAGACATCATCCTCACTGAGTATGAGGAGAATGATGAGGGCCATATAGATATGGTGTGAATTTCTGTCCTGAGCGTGGTACAGGATCTTCAGTAGTGGCATCACCTGACAAGTAAAACATACTATAATACATCAAGATTACTTAAAACATGGAACTAGTTTCTGTAGTTTAAAGATTTCATACAAGAGCACACACTTAAAATACAATTCTGAAATTTCTATTACATATTTGAAAATAAATTCAGACAGGCCAATTAAATCTGTTGGACTTGATCTGAACCTGTCCAAGGATCCATGAGGTATCATGAACACAGGCTTTGTACACAGGGATGAATGGACATATACACAAGTCCTTACTATGTATTGTCCTTTACTAGTTAGATTGGGGGTGGGGTTAGGGGTTTGGTATAATAACCAATGTAATTGCTTATATACCAATAGGGCATGATATTTGAAATTTACACATATGAGAAACTCTTAACTTTACAGGTAATTATTTTTGATAGGTTCAACTTTTAGCTATTTTAAACGGCGAGATAACATCGTGAAATTTAGATAAATCACAATAAAGAAAAGCATGATACATCTCTTGACTTGTGGTAAAATTGTGAAAATTTGAAACATCAAAAATCATTTACAGCAGTTTTTAATGTTCGTACCAGTTGATCGATATTTGTCCTAGACAATATAAACGCCTTCATTAGTGTGTTCCGGTGTATAAGTAAATATAAGAGTAGTGTTGATTGGTCATCTCTAAGGGCAACACATAAGGCATCATACAATTGGCTGAAATCTAGTTTAAATGTAGCTGGCGTCTTAGTCGGACTTGAAGAGGATGGATCTGTAAAGAAGAAAATATTGACTGTATTTAGATATTTGGTCTAAGTAGTACATTCAATAACAGTTATGGACCTTTGACGAGGTCAAAATGGGGATTTAACAACCTGGCAGAAAGTAACCCCATATAGACCGAAATCAATCATTTCATATTATGTTGGTACATATTTATCAGCAATATAACTTTTGCCTTATATAAATATCTTTATGAAGTAGTCTTATCTTCAAATTGAACATTCCAATACATTGTAAATTTTGTGTATTTCCTTAACAGAGAACAGAACATTCAAAACCTTTCAATATCTAAAATGTCTGAATTAGTATAACACAAATTATACTCTTCCAGGCTGTATATGGACTAGCTGACCTAAATTCAGTAATGTGGAATGGGATGGCTTATTTAATTTTATGCAAATGGAGTCCTTTGTTATATATCAATCTGCACATGAAAATCTCTAATCCAGTCAAAACAAAAGAAAATCTGCACATATGTGATGCATTCTGTCTGATAAAATATCGATCTCGTGTAACTTCAGAGGGGATATAGAGAAAAACACTTTTCTGCAGCAAACAGTGATGTACCATGGAGCACAAGAAACAAATTTAGATAAAAGCGATCTATATTTAACATATTTCTATGTATACCTTGTGAGTTTGTAAAGGCAAACAGGGCCTGTCTGTAAGGGTTGTGCATGCTGTGATCTGTTGTACAGTGATTGGTCAGCACCAATAGAAATAAAAGGCTCTGATTGGCTAATAATGTCTCGTGATAATCTTCTTCCTTCTTCTCTGCAGCTCCTCCCATTCCTAACGTCATCACAGACCAAAAACTTGCTAAAAAATTAAATTGTTTTATGTTATTAACCAGTTAGTAGAGACCTGTCTCACACTTATACTACATCTACTTCATCTGATGAATAAATCTGTTTTATTCTTCTGACTAAATCAAAATTTCAAAAGCTTCAGAGCCTCAGACGGAGTCAGGAAAAATAAAAATAATCTTAACTCCACCACTGAATTAAGATGTCGCATGAAAATGTGTGTAAACTCCACTAAAGGCCAAATTAAATTGTTGGGCACTGCCACACTTAACAAAAAATTTCTACTGGTTCAGATCCGCAGACTTTCGTAAAATCTCAACCACTCCAACACAGACAACCTTGATACTCTAGGGATTAGGCTCACTATTGTTCTCTAAACCCTTGAAACATGCCAGGGTAAAATTGAAGGTTCCATGTGTGATACCTTGTAGACGAGAAGACTAGTACGATCTTTTGATGTATATGAAACGAATCTCTTGGGCGCATATTTGTATGTTATACTTGTTTTGAAGTTGGGTGTTGCGCCTGAATTCGCTCTAGACCAGTTAAATAACCCCTGGAGTATCAACGATGCTAATGACTCTATTTAAAAGTTGAAATGAACTTGTGTAAACACTCTGACTTAACGTCAGAAGAAATTGGTGATTTCTCGTTAAACTAGACAAAAATAGCAGCAGATCTATATCAGCAATTTACCTGCAACAGAAGCCATAACGCTACTGTTGTCACCAGTATGTTTGTAAAGCTCAGGGGGACATTTCTCTTGACCCGAAAAGTTCCGCAACAGAGACTTAACTAACAGGCAGGCATGGATAGAACTGAAACAGCAAAGCCATATGATAATGATTGAGCACAAAATTCATGTATCTTCTGTAATTTACCTGAATTTTGTCCATTATTGCATAGACTATGGAAATTAAAATTGATTTATTTTTCCTGTTTTTAGGGAACAGTTACAATTCTTAAACAATTGGTGTACTAATTTGAATAAAAAAATCATAGCTAAGAAGAGTTTTTAAATATGTTTAACTGGACTCGACTCTATAGCTGAGAACAGATTTCTCTGGTAGTGGTAACTGAAGGCCTATACTTGTTAGATGTAACCTATATAGGAAAAAGCTTGTGATAATTAACATATAGGTACCATTATGTAGACTGTTGTTCCATCATCATGTACAGAATTAATTAGTACTGTGGTTGTACTGAAATCAGCTCAGGGAACCAATACCATATCTGACTAAAAGATAGGGACACACCTGGGCTACAGGACACTGAAATACTTGTACATAAGGCTACTGAACAGTTATAAATAGGGGCGGGCTTACTACAGGACAATGAAATGGTATCTATAATTCTTCTGAACAGTTATAGATATGGGTGGGCTTATTACACCACAATGAAACAGTATCTGTGATTCTACTGAACATCAAGAGGTATGGGTGGGCTTATTACAGGACAATGAAACAGTATCTGTGATTCTATTGAACAGCAAGAGGTATGGGTGGGCTTATTACAGGACAATGAAACAGTATCTGTGATTCTATTGAACAGCAAGAGGTATGGGTGGGCTTATTACAGGATAATGAAACAGTATCTGTAATTCTACTGAACCACAATTAAATGTGATAATTTTTTTGATAACTGTTATCCGATTTCAGGTTAATGACTTACCATCGGCCCTGCATGATATACTTGTACAGGACAAACTTGGAGGCAGGCTGCGGCTGAAACATCTGTAGTGACAGCAGCACTAACAGGGTGTTTAGGGCCTCAAGGTGAAGGGCATAGGTAAAACTCCTGTTCATTAAATAAGAATATTTTGGTTGGAAAGTGTTTCATTGATTTACACAGAGTTTTATACCACGAAGAAACTTCCCGAATCAAGAAAAAATCTGTGTGAATTTTAATCATTTTGTATCATAGTTTTGTCGCGACACCAGATAAATTTTAAGAGGTAATAAATATTTCATCATGTATTAAGCAATTATCTATCCAACTTCACACACACACACAAGCTAGCTAATTGACTAGACAACTGAACTGGCCATATCAAGGAGCCATCACATTCAGTACATGTCTATTTAATGGGCTTGATGTCTGTTATTACAGCCTTTCAGCAGAGGAGTATTCAGTAAAGTTACAAAGACTAGTTGATATGGACTGTATCAATGTTGGTATCAGATGTACTGATATCACAGTTATACTATACATATCAATTATTATTATTATTATTACATTCTTAACAGCCCTTCAACACATAAAAGGTCATTATGGCCATCAAACAGATAACACACACAGCGATCCAAAAAGGAAATAACATTAAACAAACCAAAAGGTAAAAGACAAATGTTAAACATCTTAAATGGCTATGTTAACATAAAAGATTAAAATGGTACGTCATAGTCTATTATATAGACCAACATCTTTCAGGTAATGTAGAATTTTACAAATCTCAACAGTTTCAAAAGGGATTTTAGACATGTAATGTTACGATAAAAACGTTCTCGAGTAGACAGAAGGTCACTGCAGTCCAATAAAAAAATGTTTAACGGTGAATGGCTCATCACATGCTATGCACCAAGGATTATCTTCACCTTGCAACATATATGAATGTGTACGGTATGCATGACCCATCCGAAGACGGGCAAGGACAACTTCGTCTCGGTAATTGGCTCTATACATATCAATGTTGGTATCAGATGATATCACAGTTATTACATACATATGTATTATAATGCTCTTTCCACATTCTGTATTTGTCTGGTGCAGATGAATTACAAAACCATCCGTCAGATAAAATGCATCTGTGACCTTTGACCCCATGACTTTTAAAGTTTGTAAGGAATGTAGTTTTCATCCATGCCTACAATACTTTTGGAAACATATATGAAATACTAACAGTTTCTGAGATAATCAGCTATTACCACATGGACTGTTTTACTTACCAGGTAACTGTGTCATAGGCCATGACTATAAAAATTGAGAGAACCTAATGATCGTCAGGGAACACTCTTGTATAACAGGAATGCAAAGTTTGGTCAAAATCTGTTAATTCTGGGAGGAGAAGGCGGTACAAATGAACGAGGGCGTAATTATCTAACAATACATAAAACAGATACTACAGCACAGACTACTTACAGGACTGGAACATCAACTAGGAGCTCTAACGGTACAAATGAACGAGGGTGTAATTATCTAACAGTATATAAAACAGATACTACAGCACAGACTACTTACAGGACTGGAACATCAACTAGGAGCTCTAACGGTACAAATGAACGAGGGCGTAATTATCTAACAGTATATAAAACAGATACTACAGCACAGACTACTTACAGGACTGGAACATCAACTAGGAGTTCTACCAGAGAGTTCATCAGTTCTTCTGTCAGAGGTCCAATGTCCTCAGGATCGGCATAACCTGACAAAAACAAATATAAATAATCCTGTTGGCCTGGATGGAAGTACATCAGGCGTCCTACTGCGGGAGGACACTTGTTTACAAGCCAGCTGATCAGGTCAATGACCTTTCAGTAAGGTAATTAAACCCTGGTCACCAAGGTTACACAAGTGTTACCACTGCACTCCCATCTAAACAGATAATAGATTCACACTGCTGTATAATCTTTGTAATCTTTTGTTCCGTTGATGTTTTTATACATTGTTGATTGATCCTGTAAAATCAGGAATAATTCTGATTCCTTTTCACTGAATTTGTAGATAAATCTAAATCCATGAATTTATAGGTAAATGAAATGATGAACAATGTTTACGTTAAATGTTGACACGGATTATAACAAAGTGGATTTTGCGAGATTTAACCAATAAATCAAGTGCAAATGGAAATATATTTTTTTGAAAACCAGGAAATTGGAGTCCCACTACAGTCCATGTTTTTACAATAATTAACATTTGATTTTTATTTCTCAAGATTTTTTCAAGTCTACGTATGATTCGAGGGGTACTGATAGATTTAGAAGGTATTACTGTATTAATCCATCTAGTAACATGAAAAACTAGATAACATGGATATAGAAACCGTTCTACTATTCAGACTGGTTACAAAGTAATAAAGCCAATGCAACTGTAGTTCAATAGTGAAGGGCCCAGAAAAACACCAAGTTTTAAAACACAACCATTGTAGTACAAACAAGAATTTTGTGAGTTTTCTCACAGTTCTTAACAACATTGCTAGTATGACTGATACTCAAACATGCAGAGCAATAACTATAGGATGTCCACTATAAGGTCCAAAATGCTATAACTGCATACCCTACATATGTCACCTCCTATGTCTTGATAAGTTAACTTAAGGGTGTATGCCACATCTATTACCTCCTATGTCCTTAAAGGTTAACTTAAGGGTGTATGCCACATCTGTTACCTCCTATGTCCTGATATGTTAATTTAAGGGTGTATGCCGTATCTTTTACCTCCTATGTCCTGATATATTAATTTAAGGGTGTATGCCACATCTGTTACCTCCTATGTCCTGATATGTTAATTTAAGGGTGTATGCCGTATCTTTTACTTCCTATGTCCTGATATGTTAATTTAAGCGTGTATGCCACATCTGTTACCTCCTATGTTTTGATAATTTAACTTAAGGGTGTATGCCACATCTGTTACCTCCTATGTCCTGATATGTTCATTTAAGGGTGTATGCTGTATCTTTTACCTCCGATCTCCTGATATGTTAACTTAAGGGTGTATGCCACATCTGTTACCTCCTATGTTTTGATAATTTAGCTTAAGGGTGTATGCCACATCTGTTACCTCCTATGTCCTGATATGTTAATTTAAGGGTGTATGATGTATCTTTTACCTCCTATGTCCTGATAAGTTAACTTAAGGGTGTATGCCACATCTGTTACCTTCTATGTCCTAAGTTGACTTAAGAGTGTATGCCACATCTGTTACCTTCTATGTCCTAAGTTGACTTAAGAGTGTATGCCACATCTGTTACCTTATATGTCCTAAGTTAACTTAAGGGTGTATGCTATGCTTATTACCTCCCATGTCCGGCGGTTTAGCCTCAAACTGTTGAATAATAAGCTCCTCACTGAGATGTTCAACAAAGTATTTACACAGACTTCTGATGATGAAGAGAGCATTGTAGGTCTGCCAGGTAAAGATATTACTGTAACAAAAAAAATCAGCCATTATTACCAGCATTATCATGCATTAGGCTACCACCTCCTTATAAACCCATCCATGTGCATTTCTTTTGAGTAAAATTCAAACAAAGATAATATCATGAAAATTCCTTAGGACTTTATGTCAGCGGAAGTAAAATGGCCCCCTAGGCTAACTGCAGGATATCTTACCGATGATAATTCATATAACAGTAATTTTGATGGATTTTGTTTAAATGAGTCCAGAGCACCAGAAACTTTAATGAGTTCATATCCACTTACAAAGAGATAGAGTGGGTTCTGGAATCTTAAGTGAGTCCCACAGAAAAAGTATGAGTCCTTAAGGTTCCTTATATACAGGTGTGACAATGAATTGGAATAGGATGTGACAGAACACAACACAATGGACAGGTAACACCATAAAATGGTATACATATATTACAGAAACTAAATTTAATATGTTCTGCTTACAGATAATGTTTCTTTATGTCAAATATTAATAAAATATTTAAAAAATAATCTTGCAACTATTTATCTCTTCATATTAAAATTGCACATGGCAATCTATTTTGGCTGCCACGCCATTTTAAAGTTAACATCAAAATTGTAGTAAACAGGTCAATGATGTGATATTGAATTGTGAAAGTTCCACTATTATCATTTTTTTCATATAATTTACATGTATAGTTATATCAAATACACAAATTCTTGTGTGGATTTAGTTTAGATATGAAATTTTCTAATAATCTAAGGGAGATAACTGAGGTCTTACTCTTCACATTGGGCTGAGGCCTTCAGCTCTGTCGCCCGTACAAGAAAGTTTCGTACAAGTGCTCCAAAATTTCCTGATCGTGCATTGTTAATAGCTAGTGTCTTACAGATTCCCACTGTAGATTCCTCTAGGAGTTTACCGTCAGCACTGAAAAAAAAATCCAAAATGTCTCAATAAACCTCCAGAAATTTACAATTTGTGATGAAATAAAAACATGAAGTTGTCACAAACAGTGTAAAGTACAAGAAATAAACTTCTGCATTTGTTCATGTTGTACTACAGACATTCTTTATCCAATAAATTGTTTTATGGCTTATCCTTTCATTAAACTGACTGACAGGTTAATTTCATAGAGACTTACTTATTCATTAAATAATATATTCTAACATACTAGATTAGAGTTTGACTAATATACTAATGATATTGTGACACCTGTTGATGATATTGTGACACCTGTTGATGATATTGTGACACCTGTTACTGATACTGTGAAACCTGTTGCTGATATTGTGACACCTGTTGCTGATATTGTGACACCTGTTGATGATATTGTGATGATATTGTGACACCTGTTGATGATATTGTGACACCTGTTGATGATATTGTGACACCTGTTGCTGATATTGTGACACCTGTTGCTGATATTGTGACACCTACTGATGATATTGTGACACCTGTTGATGATATTGTGACACCTACTGATGATATTGTGACACCTGTTGATGATATTGTGACACCTGTTGATGATATTGTGACACCTGTTGATGATATTGTGACACCTGTTAATGATATTGTGACACTTACTGATGATATTGTGACACCTGTTGTTGATATTGTGACATTTACAGATGATATTGTGACACCTGTTGATGATATTGTGACACCTGTTGCTGATATTGTGACACCTGTTGTTGATATTGTGACACCTGTTGTTGATATTGTGACACCTATTGATGATATTGTGACACCTGTTGTTGATATTGTGACACCTACTGATGATATTGTGACACTTACTGATGATATTGTGACACCTGTTGCTGATATTGTGACACCTGTTGTTGATATTGTGACACCTGTTGTTGATATTGTGACACCTGTTGATGATATTGTGACACCTGTTGTTGATATTGTGACACCTACTGATGATATTGTGACACCTGTTGCTGATATTGTGACACCTGTTGATAATATTGTGACACCTGTTGTTGATATTGTGACACCTACAGATGATATTGGGACACCTGTTGATGATATTGTGACATCTGTTGTTGATATTGTGACACCTGTTGATGATATTGTGACACCTGTTGATGATATTGTGACACCTGTTGATATTGTGACACCTGTTGATGATATTGTGACACCTGTTGATGATATTGTGACACCTGTTGATGATATTGTGACACCTGTTGTTGATATTGTGACACTTACTGATGATATTGTGACACCTACAGATGATATTGTGACACCTGTTGTTGATATTGTGACACCTACTGATGATATTGTGACACCTGTTAATGATATTGTGACACCTACTGTTGATATTGTGACACCTACTGATGATATTGTGACACCTACTGTTGATATTGTGACACCTACTGATGATATTGTGACACCTGTTGATGATATTGTGACACCTACTGTTGATATTGTGACACCTACTGATGATATTGTGACACCTGTTGTTGAGATTGTGACACCTGTTGTTGAGATTGTGACACCTGTTGTTGATATTGTGACACCTGTTGTTGATATTGTGACACCTGTTGATGATACTGTGACACCTGTTGATGATATTGTGACACCTGTTGTTGATATTGTGACTTAAACCTGTTGACTTGCCTATTAATTAGGGTCACACTTACCTATTGATAGGTATGAGGAAGGAGTAGGAGAGAAGTTGGTTCCAGAAGGGGTCTATAGGGTTGATGGCAGTATTACCAGCCAGACGTTTGAGGTAGTCATTGTTGGCCAGCTCCCCCATACTACTACTGTTGGCTCCCATCTTTACAGCTGACAAGACATAAACAACAGACTTGTAGTAAACAATTGTTATATTCAATTCTAGTCTTGATTATTAGTATTCTCATTGGCATGGTTTCAGATTCTACAGAACATAGTTTTCTTCATGACATGGACTGGATAACTATGGTAGGTATCCACTGAAACACAATTCTGTTCTATAGGCTCAGGTGTCAGCTCTTTTAGAGTATGCATTTTATCAGGGGCACATAGCCTAGGAATGATTTTATTTCAATTTGTTTTTGTAGTTTACTTATGTGTGAACTGCATCTATTTTACAGCTGTTAAATGATGTTTGCTATGTTGAAATATTTGTAAAAAAAAAGTTCACACATCAGTAAACAGCAAAAATAAATTATTTCTTATATTTATATTTTGACAGGTTTTCTTTATTTACACTAAAAAAAACATAGTGTCCATTCATTGGATGTTACATACACTGCCGGAACAGCCGAAAACTGATAGAAAAGCAGAATTTGACAGCAAATGTGATTTTCATGAAGTAAACATTAAATTTTTATTAAATTTTTGTGTGATATTTTGAATATTTACATTTCAATTCACAGATGTTTTAAATTTTAGACTTAGTAAAACATGAATTAAAAAATACAAATATTTGAAGAATCATTATCATGGATTCACATAGAGTATAGAGACTTCCCACACGCAAGACTTGACATTTACTGAACTGTAAACATCAATTTGATGGAAAGGCTAAACATAGAATACACAATAAACATTAGTAACACATCATATGCCCCTGACTTTATATATATTTCTGATACTGATGCATTTTAAACAATTCAATACAACTATTGTATTAATGAGAAGTCACAACTTTATTTCTTGTTGGTCTTGTGTGTGGCTTATGGTCTGATGCAGCATATATTTGGATCATATTTATAAAATCAATTAAATTTGTTGGTGGGGTCCGTATACCAGTGTGACCAATAACCCAGAAAATATGGTAATGATTTACCAGCAGCTTTTATTGGAAAGTTGAAAAATGGAAAGATACAATAATTTTACTGCAACTGTTACATCTCAAATGCTAATAATTGGCAAGACTTTTTTTCCCCTGGTATTTAAGGGGAAATATTTACCTGTTGTAGTTAAGGGGTTATGGTATAATCTACTGGTTGGTACACGTTGAACTACCACATGTTACCAATTTAATTTTGTCTGTCTGTTTGATGGAGTTATTTCTGTTTCTTTAATCTTCTTTGTAGTTCCTTTTATCAAATGTTTCTCTCCTTTAATCTGAAAAAGAGAAAATCATGTGATGAGATCAACCAATTTTAATATTAAGGTAATATCTATGACAACACATTTCTGCTCCTGAGCTCTCCTTTTTTTTCAACACACAAAATATCAGCTGTCTGGCCTCAAACTTTCTGTAGCATTTAGTCATGTATAGGAAATAATTTTCTGATTGACTTTTCAAAATCACATTATCAAAATGTATGACAGACGACTGAAGGACTAACTGGAATTTTGAGGATACCAATGTCAGTTTCATACCTATTTTCAAGACATGACTAAGATTTTAGGTGGATTGTTTACATAAAATGATACACTTGTCGCATGAAAATTTCCTTAAATTGCCTGACCCGATGTCCTTTTTATCACGTACGCTAGACATACAAACTTTACACGATGTAAGTATATTTGCTACTTTATCAGATTCACGGTCACTACACTTGCAATCGCACCTGTAGATTAAATTTGCCTGTCAAAATTGCGCATATTATTTTATTTCCGTCTATCGATAATAAGTTGACTGAATCTATCAACAGTGACTGATGTAGTCGGTTTATTAATATAAAACAACGTAAGCGCATTAGTTAAATATCCTCCTTACCTGAAGTGAACATTGATAAACACGCCTCAGATTAATGTTGACAGCTTCCGTCGTACACAAGATGGAGGCCACGTTGCACGCACGCGTTAAATACCACTTCCTGTTTCCTGTCAAAAAACGCGGATAATTTTGAAACGGCGATAAAACATGGGAGATAACTCCTGAGGCCTTACAATTTTTCTCTTTACTCACCTTATTTGTGACTGTAATAATAATACGCAGCTTACGTTTTGGCTTGAGAATCTCTAGTGAATCTTTGAATTTTTCTAGGAAGGCGGAATAAATCAAGATAAATGACTTACTTCATGGGTGAAGTGATTTAGGGAACTATCCTTTGTTAATAAGCGGGAGCAATAACAACTTATATGGACATCGTCAGCTTCGTCACTCAAATGGAGGATGTAGAGGAGTTGGTTTTTTTTCGTGCAGGAACGTAGCAGAGCTAGGCTTCGCCGTTCATGTGAAGGAATAAAGCGGAGCTTGGCTTCGTCAAATTGATGGTGTAGCAGAGCTATGGACATCAGTGATTAAATGGAGAAATGTAAAAGAGCTGGACTTCATTCTTCAATCCAGTGGAGTTCAACTTTACCAATCAAATGAAGAAATGTTGAAGTTCTGGATTTCTGTCAATCAAATTGATCAGAGACATATATATATATATATATACGTCTCTGGATTGATGTAGCGTAGCTAGTCTTCGTTAATTAGGTGGACACCGTCGATAAAGTTGAAAATTGGCAGGGCTGGACTCCGGAAGTCTGAAGATTATATCTTGCATTTGACTGTAGACAAACTAGGAAATTAAGGTTCATTGAATAAAAACTTCCAATAAAAGAATGATTTGTTTAGTTGTGTTGTGTCTAAAGAAGTTTAAGCTTTTGAACCAATATCTTTGACTTAAAAAATGAACGTCACGTTATACCGTAGTGGAGATCGACTGAACTGATCATCTGTGATTACTATTTTTATGTGGATCAAATCTGCAGGATTCTGGAGGTCTAATGTTTTCTTTTACCAGAACTAAATGATGTATTAGACAAAAAATAGACTAGAATATGTTACTCGTATCTATTGAGTCCTTATCAAATTTGATTCTTTTCTCGAAATAATAACTGCTGTTTGAATATTTGTTAAGGTAGTGTTAACTTCATATCATTTCCTTAACACACCAGAAGGAAGTGGTGGCTGTCAGCACAGCATCAGACTTCGTACCCCGGAGGATGTTCTAACTAGATTACTTTATTGTTACCTTATATCCAGCCAGGGTCATTAAAGAACATGTTGGGATTAGGTGGTGGAGAAAAGCCGGTTTCCCGCAGAAAAAAAACACTGACCTGTAGCCAGTGCTATGAGACTGCAGCACGTAGGCCTTGAATCTGCGACCTAGAGGTGGAGGTCTAGTAATAAAACGTGGTCAGACACCTTATTCGTTTAGTTACCTTGAGTTTAGGTCCATGATCCAAGTCTTGGTAAGGTTTGTGCTCCTCATGGATCTGGGGTCATGGAACATCCAGTGAAATCATGGTTCTGTCCTTGAGCAAAATAACAGGCAAATGGTTCTTCAGCATAATGTTCAGTAAGGGAGCAAGGCACTGGTACAAAAGAGTCCTAGACTTCAAACAACCCGAGCTGTTCACAGGATAGTAAACCAAACAAGAGGCCCACGGGCCTTAACGGTTATCTGACTACAAAAACTTTCAGCAGGGAGAAGGGTTATTTTTTCGACTTTGAATGAAATCTTACTAAGAAGCTGTTTACTATGATGGTAGTTTTGGTGAGGTGTAGGAAACTGTAACTAGTGTTACCTACTTTTTGACAGTAAAGTTGGAGGTCAATCCAAATGGTGAAACTTGAGTAGAAATTTTAAATAAATGTTGCACAGAAAAAAAACATGATTGCGCAGTCATGTTACAAAATGGACTCCGTGGCTGCCTTACTGAAGATTTGACAAGGTCGAAATATAGCAATGCTTTGTTGGCTACCTTTCCTTTACATTCTCACCAATTTTTAGCTCAATGGCACCAGTAGAACTGGAGAAGAAGTTTGAATTTTTTTTAAGAAGGCGGACATCTTGGATTTTAAACATATCCGAAAAACAACACTTGGATAGGACACCTCAGGATCATTTCATGCGAGTTTTAGCTCAATCCCACTGGTGAAACTTGAGAAATTTAAAATGTTAAAAGTATACGCACGGCGTACTACGACGAAAGAAGTACATCTTGACCTTTCGGATCGGATGACCTCAAAACCATCTTTCGTAATGACTTGTATAAGGTAATCATCAAGGCTTTAAAATGCCAAGGAACCTTTTTTGGTGACCGAGACATTATCCACGTGGATGAAGAAAATTTAATATACATCTGTGATATTAATCACAATTAATTGCTTGTTACTGGATTGTTCCAGCAATAATCCCACCAAATGCTAAAGCTGTATAAATGCTTCATGTCCTGGAATAAGTCTATCCCTGATTCCGAGCAAGATTTTGTAGGTTTTGCTGTCTAGGCTTATTTCAGTATGTATACAGTGCAATATTTCTGTAAGGGAGACAACTGTGACAAATCTCGGGAAGATACAGCTTTAAGATGATTAATACATATGACAGGTAAAATCGGTGACTAACAATCAGACACACTGATTCAACAAGTAAAGATTATGTACTTGTTTGTATGTGTGTAAATATCTCTTTTATTTCCCCTTATTTTGAAATGAATAGACTGTTGCACATTTTGAAAAATGGAGATAACTCTACACCTGTTCAGACGATTGGAAATGGGGGGAAAACTTCGTATACAATGAACAATCAGAATCGATGACAAAAAAACCAAACACTAGGGTATGTTTGTCAAGTTTTGTTTTATTTTATAATTATACCAGGAAAACCATTAGTGTTCCTGAAAAATTGATCTGATGAAGATGACAAGGCCCGACATTATGGCCTTCTTAACACACATGATAGTATGTGATAACACATCCCAACACAACACCCTCCCAGCCACAAAACACCCGTGTACATTTAATAAACCCTTGAAATATTTCCAAGGCCATAAGGGGCATATCCAGTAGAAATATTGGACAGGCCCTTTGTGGCTATTTAAGGGTAAAATGAATGTCGCATGTGTCTTTTGTGGCATGGAAGGGAGGATAGACGTTTTATGTACATTGTGCATGCATTGCAATCAGTTTGATGTTGAACATTTACACACATGCAGTTGTACCTGTGTTCGCTCTCCCATTCATTTCACTCTACGTTATCAATTTCATACTCCATTCTATACTGCTTCCATACTTCACGAACTGATTTCATACTCCTTATATACTGCTTCCATACTTCACGAACTGATTTCATACTCCTTGTATACTGATGTCTTATGATTCCCACTAATTTCCGTCATGCCACTTTTAAGCAATTCTTCAGTAAATATATTAAAGTATATTAATTAATCTAAAATCATCACTATTTTAAAATTTCTTTGTGAAAGTAAAATCAAATTCATTATTTATAACATAGTATTATAAAATTCAAATAAATCTAAATTTATTAGTAATATTTCAAAAAGAACTTGTAATATGTCCTTTTACAGTCTTGTTTTTTCCTTTAAGTTGTATAGTCAGAGATAACACAGATGAATTTTATCTATGTTACTTTAGGGTCTATTTCATTTGTCGTTACCAGGTGATAATAAATGAAGACCTGCTTAGATCCCTAACTCAGCCTAGAAAAGGTCGACTCGTACAGTAACACAAGGTCATTAATACAGGTAAAACCTCACCAGGTAAACTTGACAGCTAAAAAGTCTGTCATTCTGAAATTGATAGGCGATTATTTCATATACATACACAGCTAATTAGCATAAAACTGGCACGGAATATTACACTTCTTTAAAAACTAAAATTCACAATAATTATGAAAATATTTGACTTCGATTAAAATAGAATTTATTCCTAAATCTTAAAGAATATGCAACTTAAGAATCCTTTTAGAGGATGGGGGTTGTTTGGATGAGAACAAAATATGCAAAACTTTAAGTAAGTTTTAGCAATAACAAGAACTATGTTTTTAAGATTTTCGTTTTTTTTTTTGTGAATGAAACCACAAAAATTTGAATGTCTAAAACTTTAAGTTGGGAATAGAGATGAGTGAATTAAACACATAGTAATGGGTATATTTAGGAAGAAGTTCCTCGCCCTCTTAGGCCTAAAACCTAGCTAGGACAAAACATCTGTGAAGAGAGAAGATTTATATGTTTAAACCCTGTACAGGAAAAAACATGTACAGAAAGCATTGATAACTTCTACAACACAACTTCAAACACTTTATCATTAATTATTCATACTTTTTCCGCCCCAGGTTTTTGTCCATAGTAATTAAATAATAATTGATAATGATTAAACGCTAACAAAGATTTAAATTAGTTCTTAATTAAATATATTTTAAATTAATTCAATTTCCGGTTTTGATGAAGCTACCTTGGTATGTATTTAAACCCTCACACAGGTATAAGTGATACCCGACTATTATAGAGTTAGATGCACAGTCGACAGTCTCAAGACTTTCCGAGCCACTGACTTCTATGTAAGTAACCAACCACCCAGGTCACGGTAGTTTGGCCCCAAAAGATCGGGTGACGCGCGTTTTTCTTGTCAGTGTTGTTCTCTAGGCATGCTCAGTAGTTACTACAGGTATAGCACTGAGATTTTGATGCCAATCTGTTGCAAAGGATTGCATGCTCTCTCGTCCCTCGACATTCCTAAATTACCGTCAATTAAAACTTCATACCTGGTCGTATTTACCCACGTAAGCCTTCAGAATTCAAGTGGAAATATTTTCTTTCAATCACAAGGTCATAAACTCTCTATATCTACATAAAGATATCAGATTTAGACTAATGTTAAATTTCTCCATAGTTTTCTAACATTTCATTTTGATAATACAACTGAACAAAATAGTTAGATTTTTTTACAGAAACTTTGTCAAATTAGTTTAATTAGTAAAATATTCTGAGAATATGTAAAGATAACTTTTCTTAGTAGATAAAATAAATGATTCTGTGATGTATAGTTGTGTGTCCTAAAACTACCGTCAAAACAACCACCTACAACTACTGCTGTCTGAAACTTTAAGGTTCCAATCAACATACACAATGACAGATATTCTCAGATTTTTCTCAAAATGGTATTAATACTTATTCCTGGAGCCAATTATTTTCTTGCCATGAAAAAGATTTCATCCGGTTCAGATTAACTTCATACTTCAGTGATTCAAAGATAATCAAACATTTAAAAGTTTTACAAGGTTAGGAGTCTTACCATATTAAAATAAACTGTCTCAGCTTTCTAACTGATTGATCTCAATAAAAAAAAGTAACTACAATCTAATTAGTTAAGAGTCATGTTACTGCATATATTTGTTCCTTATAATTTAAAAATTCATTCTACTTTAAATGTATTTCAAATATTCTACAACCCTAAAACAATTCACTAGAAATTATTGACAAGTTCTTTCGCATTCCTTCAATTTTGGTTTTGTTGATCTACTAAACAAGGGTTCCACGTTTCTCCATATTCATTAACATAAGGACATATACATTCACACACACATACTACATGCATACAGTTGCTATTTCAACTTTGATAAACACATTATCCATACTAAATGCAAATATCTGACTTGAGTTCCCTTCCATGCTGCTCACTCATTGCCACCTTATATAAATTACACATTTAAAATGCACATTTTTATACACATAATATTGGTATTTATATATATCTTATGTATAAAATAACCTAACATATCTAGTACAGTACTACCACAAATAACATAGGGCTGGTTCAGTCAACAAATGCACAACAGGGGAGATAATTTCAAGGGAGATAACTTCTAGAGGTTGTACAACAGAGGGTTATATTAAGGGAGATAACTTTGAGAAATTTTAGTATCACAATCCTGGGTAATTTTAGTATCGGGGATAACTCTTTTCCCCCGGCATAGAATAGACTTTTAAGGATATATTCCATGTATAACCCATTTAAAAAAATAAAAAAATAAATATAATTCAATTGAAAAGAAAAGGTTGAAAAATTATTAACAATTTAACATTTATCAGGAATTTGCCCTTGTATAGTTCACTGCTAACGATAAGAGGTATTCTCTCACAAGAATTCTCATATTATTCAATTTAAAAGTATCTCCTTTCCTTGCTGACAAGATTTGTAATAATTGGACATAAACCAGATTAACAACAGGTACACACGCAATGAAAAAAAAAGAACTTAATTAATTGGCAACTTCTGAGAGATTGGGATGCTTTCCAATATCAATACTGGTCTGTTGTGTCAAGTTTGGACAGGAAATGGCAAATTTAAGGCTACTCCAATCAAAATCGTTTTAACAGTATCTATTCACATAAAAGAAAGCAGCTCCATACACAATGTAACAAAATGTTCAAAATTGCGATTGTTTCTTTATGAGTTTAGATCAGATTAAAAAAAAGACATAACTTGTGATTAGTATCTATGATCAGAAAATGAAAAAAAGATGAGATTTTTTTTTATACAACACAAATTTCTGCATATTCAACCGTTACATATTTTTTAGTATTAATGAAGTAATTCCTGAGTTAAGAGTTTGAGAGCCTGTGTTCATAATAATGGAAATGATGTCACTTCAATCTATCTAACTTCATGTTAAGGAAGACTAATATTGATCTTACTGAACTTGAACAATTACAATAAATATTTGTTAATCTTGTAATTTCTGTACAGAATTTGCTGATGTTCACCATATCCACGAGATGATGCTGTTTTTTCTATAAGAGATGAGGTAAAGTAGAAGAAGTTTCACAGTCATTATTTAATAAAACATTTAAAATAGCAGAACTTAACAGCTAAATTAATATCAATACAAAATATGATTCATAGGTGTCACTTAAAAAACAACATCAAATTTTGACAGCAAAATTTAACCATTGAACCACAACATATTTATAATTTTCACATGAAAATGCAAAACAAATTTTATTCTAAATCAAATAAAATTTTCAAGAGTTAAATATCTAAAATTGGAGACGGAAAAATATTGTAAATCACCAGTTTATGAGAGAACGTCAAACAGAGCTAATTATCAAGGCACTTAATTTTTAACAGAACAAACCAAACTTCTTTATGGACAACTCAAGAAGTTTCACAAACAATCAAAATCTAGCCACCTGATAGTCATTTGTACAGAAAAAACATGTTTATAAGGTAGCTTATTACTTCCCTTTGATGTGCATTACCTAATTACTTCCCTTTGATTTTCATTCACAAAGTACTTCCTTTGATGTGCATTACCTAATTACTTCCCTTTGATTTCCATTCACAAAGTACTTCCTTTGATGTGCATTACCTAATTACTTACATTTGATTTTCATTATCAAATTACTTCCCTTTGATGTGCATTACCTAATTACTTCCATTTTATATACATTACCTAATAACTTTCCTTTGATGTTCATTACCTAATAACTTCTCTTTGATGTTCATTACTGAATTACCTCCCTTCATGTTCATTACCTAATTACCTCCCTTTGCTGTTCATTATTTAATTACTTTCCTTTGATGTTCATTTCCTGATCACTTTCCTCTGATGTTCATTACCGAATTACTTCCCCTTGATGTTCATTACCTAATTACATCCCTTTGATGTCCATTACCGAATTACCTCCCTTTGATGTCCATTACCGAATTACCTCCCTTTGATGTTCATTATCTAACTACTTCCCGTTGATGTTCATTACCAATGTCATACTTCTTATTTCAATAATTCTTATCATCAATTTTAAACATTTTGATTTGATTCATTTGTAATATTTTGCTAAGAAATATTTCCTTTTTTTCTCAAGGTGTTGAATAAACACAAGAAAGTGTTCTGTTTTTCAATAGTCACATATGATTATCTGCAGGACTTGCAAATTCTTGTTTAAGATAAAAACAAGTTATTTTAAGATATAATCATAAACAAAATTAAAATATTAGGATTCATTTCTTATTGAAGATGTCTTCATATTTGGCTAAATGAAAATTTCCAGTCAAATGCCTTGAGAAGAACTAAGAGGTTTATAAACATTCCCTCTGTACTTTATAAGCACTGCATTTTTTTTACTTAAAATTTTCCAGTTACCAATTCCTATATGTCGAAAGTCTTAATTATCTCAAGTGATCGGAGAAAATTCTTGATTTAAATTCAAATGGTTTGCAAATAAAAGTCCAGAAACCATCTGAATATTGATAAAAGCAGAAACCTTCCTTATGTAGTTAAAAGTTGAAACAATCTATTATGACAATATCAGTGAATGGTACACAGTGAGAATGCCTCTGAGTAGATGTACCACAAGAACAGACCCGTTTTTATCATTTCAGAACATACAATAGAAAAAACATTGTTATACTGTCTACAGTCAACCAACGAATATATATACTGACCTAAACAAACCATACATGTTAAAACAAAATGTCTTTTTTCCAAATAATAAAATCCATTTAGTGTTTTTCCTTAAAACAAATTATCAACTTTAGAAAAGATGATACACCAAATGCAAAAAAAAAGGTTATATAATTCTCAGTTCTTTGAAATTCATCTTTATAATAAATTAAAAGTGTACATTTTTGATGATAAAAAATTGTTATGAAACATTTAAACATTATTCATATATATATTAGAGTTTGCATGACAATATGAATATTGCAACATATTTTAAAGTTAATGTAACATCTTTTGGATAATTTTTCATTCTCTAATAACCATGGTAACCAAAATTAATGATTAATTACGATTAATGATGAAGTTTATGTGTAGTTGTATGATGTAGGTATGGCAGATCTTTGGCAACATCAACAGAAAACATCCTTGAACTTTGAATTCTATTTGACATAAAAAATCAAAATACTCAGTCTCTTAATTTGAAATGTTAAATCCAATTGAATCTTGGGCAAACATTTAAAATCATGTGGAAAAAAAAAAATACATCAAAATTCAAGGGCATTTTTTGCATGAAATTTTTACACAATATGGCACTATGACCCTGCCTGAGGTCAAGGCCTTTCTGTAGGTGACATTTCTATGGTAACCATGTTTTGGTACAAGTAGCACTGGAATTAGAGGTAAAGCATGTGTTAGCCAGCATATCTCTGTTTCACCTGTGAAACCAGGTAAGTAGTCAAATGGTTTCCAAGGCAACAGGTAACTAAGGTATTAAAGAGTCCTTTCTCCATCTTTCTGTATCTCAGATTTGGTGTTTCCTTTCTCCTGGATATTCTTGGACTTGTGCAATCTCTCATCGTGTCTTGAAACTTCTGGTCTGAAACTGATGCCTCTACAAAAGGACACCACAGTAGTACTGCCATGATAATGCTGGATTACAAACCAGTTTTAGTTAATATCACCTATCTATATTTAGTAACACTTCCAACCAACAGGGACATGAAGTTACAAACTGTCTATGATACGTGGGGCCCCATCCTTTTGCAAACGAGATCCGTATGGACCTTGGATCATAAGGTCCGTCAACAAATCTTGCATCTTTCAAACATTTCAAAAACTCAACACAATCGTAGTCAAATATCTTTATCGATCGCCCCGGTAACAACTTTATCACAATGGGCGTCCGTGAGTTTGGGGTGTCAAACCACGATGAATTGACAAAAACTGGAAACACGGATCTGTTATAGAGCCAAACTCCTGAGTCCTCTCGACTCAGAACAAGTCCGAATCCAATTTTTTCTCTAGTCCGTAACACTGCATCCAATTGTGTCCCTTGCTGAAGAACTTCGAGAGAGAGACCTCCCCCATGAGGTAGCGATTGAAATATATTTATAGACGAGTCGAACACAGTGAAAAGGCGTCCGACACGCTGACGTAACTCCCAGTAGGCCACAGTGCACCAGTGAGGACCCCGAGAACTGCCATTTGAGGTGTCACCTGGAAAAACATCAACAATAACTCATAGTTAACAGCAATTAAATAATATCTGTAAAATCAAGTTAACTATCCTGTATACAGTAGAACCTTGTTAGTCTGGACACTTTGGTCTGTGTGTACAGTAGAACCTTGTTAGTCTGGACACTTTGGTTGGTGTGTACTGTACCACCTTGTTAGTCTGGACACTTTGGTCTGTGTGTACAGTAGAACCTTGTTAGTCTGGACACTTTGGTCTGTGTGAACAGTAGAACCTTGTTAGTCTGGACACTTTGGTCTGTGTGAACAGTAGAACCTTGTTAGTCTGGACACTTTGGTCTGTGTGTACAGTAGAACCTTGTTAGTCTGGACACTTTGGTCTGTGTGAACAGTAGAACCTTGTTAGTCTGGACACTTTGGTCTGTGTGTACAGTACCACCTTGTTAGTCTAGACACTTTGGTTTGTGTGTACAGTAGAACCTTGTTAGTCTAGACACTTTGGTCTGTGTGTACAGTAGAACCTTGTTAGTCTGGACACTTTGGTCTGTGTGTACAGTAGAACCTTGTTAGTCTGGACACTTTGGTTTGTGTGTATAGTAGAACCTTGTTAGTCTAGACACTTTGGTTTGTGTGTACAGTACCACCTTGTTAGTCTAGACACTTTGGTTTGTGTGTACAGTAGAACCTTGTTAGTCTAGACACTTTGGTCTGTGTGTACAGTAGAACCTTGTTAGTCTAGACACTTTGGTTTGTGTGTACAGTAGAACCTTGTTAGTCTAGACACTTTGGTCTGTGTGTACAGTAGAACCTTGTTAGTCTGGACACTTTGGTTTGTGTGTACAGTAGAACCTTGTTAGTCTGGACACTTGTTTGTGTTGACTTTGTTAGTCTGTGTGTGTACAGTACCAACCTTGTTTGTGTGTACACTTTGGTTTGTGTGTGTACAGTAGAACCTTGTTAGTCTGGACACTTTGGTCTGTGTGTACAGTAGAACCTTGTTAGTCTGGACATTTTGGTTTGTGTGTACAGTAGAACCTTGTTAGTCTGGACACTTTGGTTTGTGTGTACAGTAGAACCTTGTTAGTCTGGACACTTGGTCTGTGTGTACAGTAGAACCTTGTTTGTCTGGACACTTTGGTCTGTGTATACAGTAGAACCTTGTTAGTCTGGACACTTTGGTCTGTGTGTACAGTAGAACCTTGTTAGTCTGGACACTTTGGTTTGTGTGTACAGTAGAACCTTGTTAGTCTGGACACTTTGGTTTGTGTGTACAGTAGAACCTTGTTAGTCTGGACACTTTGGTCTGTGTATACAGTAGAACCTTGTTAGTCTGGACACTTTGGTCTATGTATATGGTAAAACATGGTCTTTTAGACACATTTAATTGTGTTTATGTTAAAATCATTGCCTTTTTGACACTTTTGGTTGGGTGTACAGTGGGACCCAGGCCCTCTGGAGACTTTGGTCTGAGCTGACCATTCTGTCAACCCTTGTTCTTTTCTATCCATCCTTCCATAAGACCTCATACATTCTGTCATCATCAACAATAAACATCACACAACTTTATACTTGTATCAAAAATATTTTATAAATTATTTTCAGTATTTGTCTGCCTGGCCCTGTGTTTGTCTATCATTCCTTGTATGACCACTGTCTCCCTATCTGAGTAAGGCAGACAGTGTTATGAAGTAAACACAGTACTATCCTAGGCTCCACACATTTAGTTATATAGCTTCTATCATTTCATGGCTCCAGTGGGCCAGTCCATTTCTACAGAGGAGCCGAGGGGAGGGCAGGTTTGATATCAACAGTGCTATTAATCAATACTGGAGCCTAACTGTCATTCAGAATCTCTGCTAAAGGGGCCCTAATAGGGAATTTAATCCTTTTAAATGTAACATTTTCTGTACTGAAGGGGCCAAAAAGGCAATTTGATCTTTGTGCATTCCTTCGAAAGGAGTCTAGTAGGATATAGCAAAAACAGTAAACTGTACGTAAAGAGCCCTGTTGCTGAGAGAAGCATACACATATATATATATACTCTGCTGGTCGCTTTAAAATCTATATCATAGTAATTGTATCACAAGAAGTTATACTAACAGGACAACCCACAATATCTACCCACATAGAATCAATAGACAGACATAAACAACTGTGCATGGCATTCATAGGAACATGAATGCCTCCAGTTTCATACACCTGCAGTTACCATCAGATTTGTTTTTGCAAACTGATTAATAGATTTTACAAAAATCAAAACATGTAGAATCATAACCAATAGAAGGTTAATGACAATTGAAAATGAAATCTTTCGAGTTTTTCTACAAATGTTAAAGAATTTTTCTGTAACAGAGAAAACAAATATGTACAAAAAATACTGAAAACTGTTAAAGACACAACAGTAGCTGAGATTTCTATAACTAGGAAAACATACCTGTACAACAATTATCATCACTTCGAGAACAAACCTGTTCATTTAAATACAACAGTACAAATGTTTCATAAAACTAGGAAAACGTAAGTGTACAACAATTTTTATGTCTGATCTATCACAGGACGTACTAGTCTGCCCATGTTCTAAGTTTCTGTAAAATATTTTGTTGAGTCACTTAATATATCACCAATGCACACTATGTTATAGCTCTCTTTTATAGACTTAAAACTTTCAGAAGGAACTGGTCTTGTATATTTCTAAAATCTTTCATTTTACAAAATAAAAATGAAATACTGTGTGAAGTTGTTTTAATCTTAATACAAATCTAGTTCCGTGTCATTGTTCTTTTCTCGGTCAGAAAATCTACAATAATTGTACATTATCTGTACTACTACATCAGATACAAGTATGCCCTGAACAATACATAACCTTTATATCTAATTCATAAATACAGGATGTTCTACAGCTTACAATACAAGTGTTCTGCTTTGTTTAATACAAGTCATGTTTAATTATAATTAATATAATACAAACATTTTTAGACAAATGGGACATGATAGAACAGTGAGGAATACTGAAAACTACAAAGTCACTAAGACAGGCCCAGAATACAGAAATCTATAAAGTCACTAAGACAGGCCCAGAATACAGAAATCTACAAAGTCACTAAGACAGGCCCAGAATACAGAAATCTATAAAGTCACTAAGACAGGCCCAGAATACAGAAATCTACAAAGTCACTAAGACAGGTCTAGAATACAGAAATCTATAAAGTCACTAAGACAGGTCTAGAATACAGAAATTTATAAAGTCACTAAGACAGGCCCAGAATACAGAAATCTACAAAGTCACTAAGACAGGTCTAGAATACAGAAATCTATAAAGTCACTAAGACAGGTCTAGAATACAGAAGTCTATAAAGTCACTAAGACAGGTCTAGAATACAGAAATTTATAAAGTCACTAAGACAGGCCCAGAATACAGAAATATGCAGAGTAACTAAACAAAATTAGCCTGTGTAGTTAAAAATCAGAGTCTTCTTAAATCTTATATCTATTTTGTGTATATTTAGGTCAGAGCCCAGCCTAGCAAGGAGAAATCTGGCTATACACACACACACATACTGAAGGCCTATACACTAGAGAGGCCCCAGACAGCCAGGCTTGTGGAGGCGACACTGTTCTCTCATCCCTATACCACTAACATACAGTCTATACAGAAACAAGTAGTTCCTTTGTTACAGCTGATCACGACCATCAAGGTTTTGTAACCAGCCAACAAAAAACTGCCAGGACGGTTCTAAACAACAACAAAGTAATCAAAACTATTTTGTTTCATCCCCTTTGTCGATCTTTTTCTCCCCGCCTACGATTCCTCGAGATCCGAGGTGATCAGTGAACGAAGGGCGCCTCAGTAACAGGTTGTCATGTCTACACAAATTTATCATCAACGTTTATCATTTTAATAGCCATCTGTAATTGTTACGAATATATAGTATTGGTCGTAAGCGGGAACACTTTGTAGGATTCTAATAACCATCAGTTATAGTTACAAACACTGCTAAAACTTGTGTCTTTTCCATATAGCGAGTAGACACTAAATTGTTACAAATATTAATGGGCAATCCTAGAGAATGTTTATATTAGTGAATAACATTGTGGAGTTCTACATCTGATGTTACTGATACCAATCTTGATGGTGTTGGTAGGAGTTCACTATGGTTAGTGGGAGTTAAACAATTACTTATTCTACTAACTCTAGAGTTATTTCCCTTGAAATTAGAGACCTACCACATCCCGTGTTTATCATGTATGAAAAAAATATATACCTTAATGGTATTAGACTTATAGACAGTCACCTATTTACTATGTTTGTTGTGTTTATTGCCAGGTTCATATTGAGGTTGTGCTTCCAGGTAGTAGCTGGTGGCTACCTAATTGAACTGAATACAGGAGGCCCATTACATTTCATCCACAGGGATCAAGTGTTTTTGATTAAAGACACAACCATATCACCACAGACCAATCTGTTCCTGAGAAACATAAACCAATACAGGTACAGAACTGACAACACTTGAGTACAGGTGTCAAGAGGGAAACAAAGAGTGAAAAAGAAATACAGAATGAATGGAAAGAAGGAAAAGATAAAATATTGCTCTGAAATACCACTGGGCAAGTAAAGAATATCAAATCATGTCAGATGGAAATTTTTTAGGAAATGAACAAATCAACAAAATAAGCCGCAATTACATATGACAGATTTTCCAATTTTACTTGAAATTTGAATTACAACAAAAAAATCAATATAATGAAAAAAATTACACAGGTACAACCAGTCAGCGATACAAACACAAAGAATGACAACAACAGCCAAGCGAAGCTATCAACTAGTTAAAACTTGTTGAAAATTATTAAAATATTTAAGTTGGACTCCATTTCAAAAGCAATCCACACCTACATGAAAGTGCTGAATCACTGACTTTGTGCCCTGACTCATTATAATTATATAATTATACAGACAATTATGTGAAGGATCCTAATCTTATGTACGGTAGCTAATTGTCCCACCACTTTTATAATCTGACGCCGTT